TCCTTTGTATGGTAACCCCTTTGTAAGCGTTTTGATTCTCATATGTGTTGTAAGGTAGCTTCTGCGCGCCTGTCCGTTCATTAAGTGTACTTTTTAAACAGCCTCCACTTTTGAATTTGTTTCTTTCACGATACTCTTTTCGACAGCGAAACAACCATGTCCATCCGTGTAAGCTTATGACAACATCTCCCAAGCTTTCATCGCACCTCCTAAAGCTTGGCCTGCCATGGCTAGGGTTAGCCTTGGCATTTGCAACAACCTTGCGGCAAGGCAAGCAACGGCCGGCAATACCAATGCTAGGGCGTCATATCTGTGATGCTCCTCAATCTGCCCAAACTCTTTTGGGCCATCGGTACAGGCCCAGCACGAACCAGTCTTGGCTAGTCCCGCCGCCCGTGCCGAAGTCGTATCGAACGACGAGAGGAGGACTGATGTACGAATTACGTGGCGTGCTTCCTCAGCGCTTTGGTCAATCTGGGAGAGTCATTCCAGAAAAACGGTGTTGTCTTCCTGCTCTGATCCGAAAGCCAAAAAGTGTAGTCAATTGGTTGGAGGAAGAGTCTAGACATGAGCACGAGGGAAAAAATTGAAGGCCCTGTCACACATTATCGCTGCTCAAGTTAAAGTTAATGTGTTCGTAGACTCGGTCACTCGACACCCCCATTCTTTTATCTGACAGGTGAGAACTTTTCCATTTCGGCTGACCGCTTTCGTCGCTGTCGTAAAATCCTAGTTAAGACGGTTCTCGCGATACTCCTCGTTGTTTTTGTCGGAACCCTGCCATTTTATTGACACGTGTTGACTGAAAAAGTAAAAGAGAATGTGATAGGCCAATGCGGCGACCGGACATGAAGTGTCAGGAGCAAGCCTTTTTAGTCACATCATCAAGGTATGGGCCCGGTTAAAGTCACCTTCAAAGAAGAGTCTTTGAACCAAAAAAATAAGACTCAGAAGCAACCATGCAAGTACGTGAGTCCCAAGAACCCACCTCGGAAGGAGACAACTTGAAAGCTACAAGATGTCCGCGCTTCAGCCCGCCAGGTTTCTACGACCTCTCCACAAGCACGACGGCCGGTATTGATGCCTGCGACGCTCTCGTTCCCTGACGTTCGTAATGATGCCGTTTAAATCTATGAAGCTTATGGTAGGATTTGGGACTTAAGACGTTCGTCGTTTTACTCGTTTTTCTCGTCTTCCAATTAAGGCGGCGCTTTTGCCTTATTTCAACACCTGAGATGATGCATTTTGGCTCACTTGGAATGGACGTCAGTGTCAACGTGGGTATGTAAGCCCGAAGGAACAGGCTAATGCAGCTTTAAAGAAACCGGGGAGGGGGCCAAAAGCCATCTCCCAAAACCAGGGTTGTGGTTGTAAGTTGTGTGCAACCAAGGCGAGTAGTAAAGGTGCGAGTGAAAAGGTAGCACGCTGCACCTCTCATCTTGTTTGTTGTACTTGGATAAGTTCATATGAAATGTGCGGGATGTTGCGCCGCAAACCGACTCTCTCGAGCTGGACCATGTCGTCCAGACACATATTTCGTCGGCTCGTGATTCGGCAAACCAATATCACGTTCTTTGTAACGAGACCCATGAGGAAGGAGGACATTGAGAGATAGGGTTTGGCAAAGCACCCTCTGCCCGGATTTCGTCATATACGTGGCACAGCTTTAAGTTGCCCTTCGGGCGGCATGTCACAGATGCCAGCGGGCCTTTTGTCTAGAAAAAGGTGACAAAAGTTAATTAATAGAGGCGAGAATAAGACGGGAGGTCAATATACCCTGCACTTCGTATAACGCAGCTGATAGGCAGCCTGAGATCAGAAACCAATCAGAGCTGCGCTTGCAGATGATCAGTCTGGAGGGATAATGGCGACTCTCGGACACGTTCGTGGCCAGCCTTGTCCAACAAAAGAGGGCTGAATATGAAAACACGAACATAGAGTCTTCAAAAAGACGTATCGGAGGTCCGCAGTGCCCTCTTATACAACATCGAGCCGCGATGAGGCACTGGCGACGGTCGACAAACGGGGATAATGGCAACGACAACGTGCCTCAGTCGAATGCATGGCCTTGTCTACTCAAAAGGACTCAAAATGGTAGGTTGATTCAACCCAGGTCTGTGTTTGGTGATAGGCCTGGAGTGAGAATTTGCGCCGTGGGTGCTGGTTGACAAGTCTCTCTGCAGACATTACGCTCCTATTATTGTCACTAGTCGAATGGATCGGTACTCTGTCACTGACAGGACCTCGGAACGGCGGCAAGAACAAAGTTGGACGTGGACAGAAGGAGGCACGGCAAAGGAAGATCCTCCACCATACGACCATTTGTCGGGGAAGCAGGGCAAAGACGTGACTGCCCTGTGCCGTGTAAGGGAGACCTTATTTCTCTTTCCTTTTTTGTGTTGCCAGTTTGGGCGGACGAGGCAGGTGCTACACGGTTTGGGTTGCGACTTTCCTATTTCGGCCTTGTTCTGTCTGCGGGCACCTTCTTTCCAAATATTTCGAAGTGACGACTTCTGCCACTTCCCGTTATGTCAGTATCTTCGGAGCATTGTTTCCTGTCTCATCTTGAGATTTCTTTTTCTCCTCCTTTGGTCCCTTTTCGCCATTTCTTCTTATCTTTCATTTTTATAGACAGCTCGACATTGTACGCCCGACGCCGCGACCTGCGACAGCCAAAGAAAACAAAATTTGCCCAGCTGTCAATAAATCTCCACCGTTCCGGGTCCCAACCCGACATTATGGCTTCCAGCAAGGTGAAGACAACTCGGAAGCGGACCTCTGCAGCAATACATAAGAAGCAGACAAAAGCCTTGGCAGCCAGTATCAAAATTATTTCGCTCGCCAGCGAAAAGCCGTCTCATTCATCCTATCTACGCCTGTCGGCGTTGCAAAGCGCCTCTTAGCCCCTGCAGAACACGACTAGGATCAGGGAGACTGACGAGGAGATCTCCCAGAGTCAAACAGACAAAGAGTGGCGTTCGTTTTTCGTCTTGTCGTGTCGAGGCCTGTTATCTTGGCGAAAAGCATGTCACCCAACGTACGCCTTTAACTTTTCCACCTTCGTATACCTATACATTGTTCCTCTGTCATCCTAGAGCAACGAGATTTCTGTATCACGCGAATACAGCCACAACAAACCGACGCTCAACTTTTGACCGCCTCCTCATTTTCTCTCGAGCCAAACCGTAGCGGCAAGCTACCCTTGTCGTGCGAGGACAAGGATGTAGGCAATCCGAGGAGGCACAAATACCACGGCATTCTATTTTAGAGACGCCAGAAACCGGGCGTCTCGTAAAATATACGACGACTTTTTGGACGCCACTGGCATGGACGTGACAAACCCCTGAGTGCGACAACAAAGACTGCCACGTCTGGCACAACCGGAAATGTGACGAGAACACTCCGATTAGGGAGCAACACTCACGAAAAGATGGAATCATACATATTGGCCTCGTTTTCATGAAGTCTAGATTTCGACGGATACCGCATAATATCCCGTGCTTTGACAGTTTCTAGCAAAGGACCAGCTGAACGACTTACTCACCCGTCATCCTCCGCCGAAGTCATACGTATAATGCCACGGCCCCCAAACGTGAAACGAAAAAGACGAAAAGCACTGAAATACTTCCGCGAACAGCTTCCCATTTCGAATCTGCAGGCCTTTTGCTTTCAGCTGCTCCGATTTTTCGAGTCTGTTTCGTCTTCTTTGCTCTGAGCCGTGCGCTTGCTTCTTCCAGTGACGATCGCCGAATCTGGATCGTTCTTCCAACCGCGCCCATCTTGTCTCTGTCACTGGTTTGTGTTTCCCCATGTTTCCTTATCAGGTGAGACCTTCCCGCCGCTTCGGTTTAACCTAGCTATACATTGGCTCCATTAAAACTAATCCATCTAGGACATTTCCTGTGTACAGTATGCATTGACCACCGACAGCAAATGGCTGGCACATTATTATCGGAATTTTTGAAATTGTATTTTTGCCAGCCCTTTTTGAGACGGGTTGATCAAAAGCCTGTTTGTCTGTTGCAGTCTCTGTCTAGGCTCGCTAACTGTTTGCAAGAGAGATTGATCCTGGCCTTCGGGACGAGCCGATATTTCTGGCAACGCTGTCGTTCTTCGTAAGTGCACAGACAATCCGGCAATGATTTCGATCCTCGTGGCTACGAAATCTAGATTGTTCCAGTGAAAATGCTTTCTTCCAATGGTTTCTGTTTTATTGTTTCAGAACTCTTCATTTGGTCGGAGTTTGCAGTTAGTTTCTGTTGCCATCATGGTTTCTCAGATCGTCCCTTTTTTCCTTTTCTTTTGCTTATTTTTCTTCTGTTTTTCACAGTCCACTAATGGAGCGAATCAGCCGCAGATGCCCTTCACCCCTGTCCGAGTTTCCGGGAGGAGTCGAGAGACGCCTACCGCTTCTCACACACCCTCACACCGTCCGCCTACGACAACACCAACTCCACCTTACCCCTGTTCCTCCCGGCCAAGTTGAACTTCCAGGACGTTTATTCCCTTTCGCCTCGTAAGCACCCTTGCTTATTTCTTTTTTTTGTATATTTTTAATTCCTTTTTACCTCCAAGGCGTGCTGTATTATTTAAAACCAGAAAAGCTTCCAGTACATGGCCCCATCTCAGCGAGCTCTTTTTGTACTCAGTCCACCTATCTCTTCCTCACGCCTTTCTTTACTCACAAGAACTGTACTGCCTGCGCGCCAGCTTCCTTAAAAGGCTGCAGACGTCCTCATCTCCAATTTTTCCATCAGGTCATTCCTAAACCAGCCTTTTGTCTCAAACAGGTTCCAGAAACAAAGCACAACACCTGATTTTCTTTGTTTCTCTCTCCTGCATTGGGACATTTGAATAGATATCTGCGCGAACACGAACTCTCCACTGTCGCTCTTTTTCTCAACCACGAAAAACCTACTCACCCCATCTCATTGATTCCCCTATATCACTCACCCCCTGTCCTCTTTTACAGAAAGTAACACGCAACCTCACCGATCGCAATGTCTTTTTTCTCTATCGTTAAAAAAGCCCGACAGGCTAAAGAGCAGTCGGTCAGCAAACCCTCCGAAAAGCAACTTGGAAAGCAGAAAGATGAGCTAGCCAAGCCGCGATACGTCCATGTTCCGACACACGCAGCTGCAGACGCCCTTATGGGAGCTCCGGCCGGCTGGATGCGGGACGACGCCGAGCGGATCCGGGAGAACAACATAAAACGCAACGCCAAGCTAGCTGGCCAATTGTTACGGCCACCACGGCCGGCAAGCTCGTCTATAATGAGCCCTCTGCATGTCGACGTGCACGCGGACAGCAGCAGCAAGAAATACGGCCGCCGTCTTGGAAACGCTAGTAGCAGGGCCTCTCTGAGAAGCTCACATACCACTCCGGGTACATCAGCCGCATTCAGCCAGTTGAGCTTGAGTAGTCTGGATGCAGAGCTTGTCCGTGCCCGCATGTCACATCTTGAGGCTTCTCGAAACGGGCCGTACCACTCTCAAAGTGCCCACACGTCGTCAGTATCACAAGCTGTTTCCTCAGAATCATCGACTTCCAGATCCTCGCCTTCTTCATCTCCATCCACGTCACCTTCGACATACTCGGCGGCGTCTTTTGGGCCGCAGAAGAGCTCCACGAACAAAGGTGTGATTTCCAAAATTACCCTCAAGTCGTCTTGAGAGCATTGCACGTCTTCTTTGTACCAATACTGCAGCAACGTCTCTACCGTCATGCTGTATTCAGAAACGACTCCGTACTAACAGTGCGCCACTTATTTTCAACCAATGTACCCAGACGGCAACTTAGGCTACTATGGAGAGACTTGCGGAGAGCACGGCCCTTCAAGCATGGAATCTATCGAGATGAGGGTATTTCCGTCCGGCACAACAAAATCCAAGAGTACCCGCAATTGCAACTCCAACAGCTCCACCTCCATTATGCCCAGCCAGTACGATCTTCCATCAACGGGTATTCAAGAACGCAGGAGGCAACTGAATCCTTATGGACAACATGTTAGGATCGGTGAGCCTAGCATTCCACACATACAGCACCCAGTGGGCCATTCTCGGCTGTCCACAGAGCGCACCCTGGTACCTACCACGATTGGCTCACCCCGTCCCTCACCAGCCCATACGTTCATCGACTCCTGCTCGACTCTGAGTTTGGTTATGGCCGAGACTGCGGCTTCAAAGAATCCGCTGTCAAAATCGGACAACCGCGAAGCCCAGTTAGCGTCTGCCGCAGAAGAGCGAGTCTACTCGACAACAACGTGCCAACTTGAGGAGCCCCTTACAGCATGCCTCCAACCAGTCTCAATTTGAAATTTGATAGTCTTTTCTTTGCCGCTCGTTTTGATATCCTTTGCCCCTTACTTTTCACGTCGTTCCTTCTACTGTCAGGTTCACATTCCGCACCTTGGTCATAAGTTGCATCGCATTGGCAGATGATAATTGGCGTTATATCTGGACGTTACCTTACTAATTATTGGTTATCTTTTTCATTTTGCTCCTGCTGTTTCTGCAGACATGTTGCCATCATATATTCTTTCATTGAATTTGGCGTTTACTATTGGATATTCAGGACAGAGATACAGCTAGATTTGAGCTCGTGGGATATGTACTTATCATGCTGCAGAAATATGTTAGGCACGAAATGGTACTGTCGCTTTCCTAACTACTAAAACGACTGCCGATTCGATTTTTTTTATCCGTCGTTGTACTTGTCCTCGTTCCCATGTTCGGCGAAACATTTCAATATATTTTCTCCTAACATTGCCTGACTGATGACACGACAACTTGCCATCAACTGCACCTGTTTTGGACGCCTTATTTCTGCACATACACCTGGTGAACTATTTCATTTACAAGGGGTGCGGACAGTGGTTTGAGCTCTCAGCAACATACGAATTACATGTTGATGCTTCAAAATTGAGTTTCCTAGTTGGGCGTGTTAGTTGGTGACGGTGTTTTGATTGGCTGTTGCCACGACTTAAGTAAGACCAAAATAGCGGGTACCAAATGAGTACTGCACGTGATTCAACTCGTGCAGTTCACGAATCGCGAAAAAAATCCTGCAGCGCTGGCTTTGAAAGCGGTGAGAGATTCTGCCGAAAAAAGTTCCCGCTCAGCCAAAAAAGTGAAGCTTTTTTCGCTTGCTCTTTTCACACTCTCTCGTCATCACGCAAACGCACTTCTTTCACATTTTCCCGCAACCAACGGCAGTGAACCTCCCACAGGCGAGCCACCAGAAACATCCCCCTTTTTTTTACTCTTTAGCATCAACGTCGTTCAACTTTTTTTTCTCTTTTCTTGTCGTCCCGACGCTCTTTGAACCACCTGAAAAATGTCTGGTAACAAGGAATCTGCTGGTACGTTTCCGTCTCTCAAGCTGCGCGCAATGCCCAGTGCTCAATACACGTCTTTCCCTCCTTCTCTTCGTCATGAACTAACTCCTCTTCCAGCCTGGCCTCTGGCCGACCCTGCCCTCTCGCAGGAGATCCTCGACCTCCTCCAGTCTGCCACCCACTACCGCCAGGCCAAGAAGGGTGCCAACGAGGTCACCAAGGCCCTGAACCGCAACACCTGCGAGATTGCCATTCTCGCCGCGGACGCCAACCCGCTTGCCATCCTGCTGCACATTCCCCTGCTGTGCGAGGACAAGAACACGCCCTACGTGTTTGTGCCGAGCAAGGTCGCTCTGGGCCGCGCTTGCGGCGTCAGCCGCGCCGTGATTGCTGCCAGCATCAGCACCAACGAGGCCAGCGACCTGGCTGGCCCGATCAAGGCCCTCAAGGACAAGGTCGAGCGTCTGGCCATCTAAGTGGCGCGGATGGGGGACGCTTCAGGGCCTGCAAGAGCTCTACCCATCATCCCGTTTCACCACTTCGCCATTACCGCACATTCGTCGCCAAGCACGCGCCGTGGCATCATAAGATACCCATGTCGGACTGCCAGGAGTAGAATAGGACAACAAGAAACTAGGAAAAATAAAGAGAAAATAGAAAGAACGGCCTGGGAGCGCGAGTGTCCGGATTTGTGCCAAGCCGACAGGTGGTCAACTCTCGGACCTTAACCGCCCCAGCGCACTTTTTGCTAATCTTGCGTTTGCCCCTACTGTGACGAGTGTGCGCCCTTATATCTGCATTTGAGTAGCTTGTGTGTCGTAGACAGGGAGACAAATAATACAATATTGAAAGATTTCGATGCTTTGCAGCTCGTAATCTTCCAAGATATCCCTCCGTACGTTGGCGATGCACTGGAGGTTTCGACGTTGACCGTGATCAACGTCGGCCTCGTATGTTACCGTACTCACCTTCTCGTAGAGTACTGTGTCCTCCGTACGATACGTCAACCAATTCACGGCTTTGCCTGTTTGTTGACGAAATCGTCGAAGTCATACGACGTAATCGCGGCACTTAATTACGGTGCGCTTTAGCGCTGTACTGCGAAGTGCTGAGTGCCTGTAAATACAGTGGGGGATCGGCAGGGCGTGGCCACCCAGAACCATGTCCGCACCTTCCCATAATTGGTTCGTATTATTACGCGGAAGGCGCCTGCAAAGTCGCACCATAGCACCTGCCCTAGAGAAGCTGCCACCTTGCTCCAACACAACTCCACGTCTCCTCGTCTCCAAAACGCGGAATAGCTTCTCTCTCCTCTCTTTCGCCAATGCATATTGTCTCGACGAGGGAGACAGGCCAGCACGGTCCACACCCAACCGACTTTCTTTCCTACAAAGTACGAATCTCAAGTTCGTTTCTTTTTCTTAGTGTCCCAGTATCCTACGACCGCGACCTTCTCCTGTATTCTTTGTCCTCGACTCGTTCTCTCCTTTCTGTCACTCTCTCTTCATTTTCAATCCCTCTTCTCCGGCCTTGTTTCTTCTCGCTCTCTCGAGATGCTAGGCCGCTGTTGAGCAGCACGGCCGAGACAATCGTCGACAAGGAAACGATAAGAACGAGGCACAACCCACTCTCGCGACATCACGACCTCGATCCAACGATTCTACAAATCGAGAATGCTATCAACGACGACCGGGGAGTAAACACCACACATACAACTCCCACCCCACGACTTCGCCCCCTCCTCCGCTATGGCCGGCGTCTTTGACCTCGTCGGCTCCCTCCTCGCCGCCCTCTTCTCGATTCCTATCCCGTTGCTGCTCCTGGCCTTTACGACCCTCGTTGCCGTCGCCAGCATCGCCGGCTATCTGCTCCTCTGCCACATTGCGCCCAAGCCAAGACTACCCTTTCCTTCCGAAAAGACCTACCAGACAAGTGCTCCTTCGACCGGCACCGGCAAGGACGCAGCCGTTGTCACACGGCCGCTGCCTTGCTGGTACGACAAGTGGCTAGCAGAGCGGCACCTTGCCGAGACGGCCAAGGACAGCGACAAGAATGCCTACAGCCTCGGCGCCATTGAGCCCGCGGAGGTGGGCTTGACCGTTGTAGTACCCGCCTACAACGAGGCCAAGCGCATCTTGCCCGCCCTCGAGGAGATGGTTGACTACTGCGACAAGCGCTTCGGCCGGCCGAAGCCGTCGACCCAAAGCCGGTCAAAACCGGGCCAGCAGACACGCAGGCCGACGGCCGCACCGAAGCGCAAAAAGGCCCCGTCTGCCGCCGTGCTCTACGACTTTCCCGCCGACCGGGCCGACTCCAACGGCACTGCGTCGACGTCGTCGTCACTCGACACCGAGCTGCCCTCTAGCTACGAGATTCTGATTGTCAACGACGCCAGCAGCGACAACACCGTCCAGGTCGCCCTGGACTTTGCCCGCGACCGCGGCCTGCACGACGTGCTGCGCGTCGTCACCCTTGCCAAGAACCGCGGCAAGGGCGGTGGCGTCACCCACGGCCTGCGCCACGCCCGCGGCGCCTACGTCGTCTTTGCCGACGCCGACGGCGCCTCGCGCTTCAGCGACCTGGACAAGCTGATTGAGGGCTGCGATGTCGTCGTGGACGCGTCCGACCGCGGCGTCGCCATAGGCAGCCGCGCCCATCTCGTCGGTAGCGCCGCCGTCGTGCAGCGGTCGGCGCTGCGCAATTTCCTGATGAAGTCGTTCCACTTTGTCCTGACCATCCTGACGCCCCCCGCCACCTCGCGCATCGGCGACACCCAGTGTGGCTTCAAGCTGTTTAGCCGCAACGCCCTGCCCCACATTGTGCCCTACATGCACACCGAGGGCTGGATCTTTGACATTGAGATGCTCATGCTGGCCGAGTCGGCGCCCGCGACCCCCGTTGTGGCCCACGACGGCAGCATCATTGGCACCAGCGCGGGCATCAAGGTCGCCGAGGTGCCCGTGGGCTGGCACGAGGTCGACGGCAGCAAGATGAACCTGGTCCAAGACAGCATCCGCATGGCCATGGGTCTGACCGTGCTGCGCGCCAGTTGGATGCTGGGCGTGTACCGCCGGCGGTTGACTTGAGACGGGTGCTGAGCGGAATACCGACGAGACAAGTAAGCAATGCTTTATGGGAGACGAACGATGCATGTAAAAAGTGTAGAAATCGTCAAGGTCTTATATATGGGTCATCTATGGTAAACAAAGCGGAATGCCGATGCCTAGGGATATCTATCTAGGAAATAAAATGAGAAAAAAAAAGAAGAAAAAAAAGAAGAAAAAAAAGCCTGCTCTTCTATTTGAAAGACGGCGACCAGCGGGCGAAGTGGTCCAGCATCAGTGGTGTGATCGTCTTGGGCGCCCGCTTGATCTCCGTCAAAAATGCGTCCGTCGTAATGTACTCAGGACCCGTCCCGTTCAGGAACGCCCGGTTGGCGCTCTCGCCCGCTTTCTGGCAGATGCCCAGAATCTCGGCGCCCGACAGCTGCGCCGATTCCCGGCCCAACAGGTCCAAGTCCAAATCGGCACTGACCAGCATGTCCTTGGTCCAGCTGGCAAAGATGGCCCGCCGCGCCGGCTCGTCTGGCGGCGGCACATAAAAGTGCTTGTCAAACCGGCCTGTCCGCAGCAGCGCTGGGTCTAGCGCCTCGGGCCGGTTCGTCGCCGCCACCACCAGCACCTTGTCGAGCGGCTCAAAGCCGTCCAGCTCCGACAGCAGGGCCGGCACCATCTGGGGCCCGCGGCTGGACGACGCGCTGCCGTCACCAAAGTTGGCCCGCCGGCCGCCGAGGGCGTCAATCTCGTCCAGAAAGATGACGGCGGGCGACGCGCGCCGCGCCTTGTCAAACAGCTCGCGGATGCTGCGCTCCGTCTCGCCCACATACTGGTTGAGCAACTCGCCGCCTTTTACCGAGAAGTAGTTGAGCTCGCTCTCCGTGGCCAGCGCCTGTGCCGCCATGGTCTTGGAGCAGCCCGGCGGGCCGTACAGCAAGAAGCCGCGCGCAAACGGCTTGATGCGCGGCCGGTACTTTTCCGGGTGATTCATCATATCCACGCGCTCCCGCAGCGCCATTACGAGGTCGGCCTGGCCGTGGATGTCGTGCCAGTACACCGGCCGCGGCTTGACGTCAATGCCGTCCATGCGGCTGGGACGCACGCGCCTCCGAGCGTCCTTGAAGTCGTCTTCCGTCACGTAAAACGGCTCCTCCCCGTGTGCTTGTGGCAGGGCAGCACCTCCATCGCCGTTGGCAGAAGCCTCATCAATTTGGCCTTCTTTCTTTTCTGTTTCCTCCCTCGCCAGGGCGGCCTTGTGTAGGCGGAATAGGAGCGCCTCGTTCCAGAGCTTCAACAAGTCGTGGCCGTTAAAGGCGTGTGTCTGGTGGCTCAACTCCTTGATCATGCGATCGCCTTGGTCGGGTGGCAACGGCATGTCGAACGAGCGCAAGATGGCCCTGCGGCCAGCAGGGTCGGGGAAGGGGAGCTCGATAACGTGGGACAGGCGGCCAGGCTCCCGCAAATCGGCGGGGATGTCCTTGTGGTAATCCAGACAGGAGACGAGGACGATAAGCTGCGGTACCTGCGGAACTTCCGAGCCAGGCAGGCCTGGAGGCGTGCTCTGTCCGCCATTGTAGACGTTCGAGTCAAGAAAATCGCACAGCGCCTGTATGACCGCTGTGCGGTTATTCCGCTCCTCAATAAGCAGCTTCTGAATGTTGTCAATGGTGACAATACTTGGCCGCTGCTCGTATGCTTTCTGGAACGTCTCCTGGATGGAGGACAACTTGTCGTTTGGCCGGATGGGAAACACTGTGCCCCAGCCAGTCGAGGTGATTCTGTTAAGGAGCATCGTCTTTCCCGTGCCCTTGTCGCCCTGTAGTACCGCCGCACAAGAAAGACCAGTGCGCGGGTAGCTCACGGTCGGGTCAAAGCAAGTCAGGAACCGGTTCAGCTCCTTTACGGCCTTATCCAGACCCTCAATCTGGTCGAGCTTGATGGCTGTCGGTGGTGACGACTGGTTTGCTTCTGCCGGTGGTGTCTGCGGCAGCTTGGATGCTGGTTTAAGTGCTGGTGAGGATGGCACTGTGCGGGACTGTAGTCGTCTTGACGGCGATGCGGTCGGCGAGGCTGTCGCTGCTGCAGCCGAGCGCAATGGCAACGTGGTAGTAAGTGAAGCCTTGGGAGTCTTGGGCGTCTGCGGTAGTGCTGGAGAGGGCATTCCTGCGCGAGAGGAGCCAGCTACATCGGTGAACTGCACGCTCGTCTGATCCATCGTAAACCGGGCCACGCCGTCCGTCCGGCCGTCCACAGCCCTGATGCGGAACGTTCGCTTCGTCCGCCGGTGGTACACGTCGCGAACAACCATGCCAGGGTACACGAGCTCGGCAAGGTCCAGCTGGTCCTCAAGCATGGTAGCCCAGCCGGACAGCTCGATCGCTTGTGTCGACGAGGTCACGGGCGCCAGGCCGTCCCGGTTCGTGATGTCCTCCACGTCCACCTCAGCGGCCGCGGACAGGGTGCGCCCGTCGACGGTGATGCGGCACTTTTCATTCGCGCTGATTCCACAGGCTTCACGAAACGCTTTGGAAACGCGGGCGAGGCCCTTTTTCAACGGCTCAGGCGACGCCCAGAGACTGGCCTCGCGCAACACGGGTTGGCCATCGGTGATGCTGAGGGTCTCGATGGTGCAGAGGCGGTCGTTGTCCAGCGTGCCTGTGAGCTGGAGCAGGTTGTCCTTGCTCACGACAATGCGTGCTGCTGCTTTCGCCGCCGGTTCTTGGTTGAACGAGGCCACGTTGACCTCGATGGATTTGCCCATCGTTTTGTTCTGGGTGAAGGGATGTGGAATGTAAAAAGCAGGAAAGACAATACAGGCAAGAACTGGGACTTCTGCTTTTGGGAATGCCCCTCGCTTCCGTTCCTTCCCCTACGAACCGACCGTGGGATGCTCTTTCCTGTGAAAATTTGTAAATCGGTCGTTCTTTCTCATTCATAGTCAACCACACAGGTCGCTCTTTCCCGGCAGTGTGTTGACTCGTCCTAGGAATTTCTCGAATTTCTTAGGGCGTTATGCGGGTTGTAATAATTTTGCCGCCCGTCACCGCTCCTGCAAACTTGTAAGTGAACCCACTGTGGCCTGGCCTAGCACCTGCGCTGCAAATCTGATTGGGTAGAGCGCTGTAGGCTCACTTTGAACTACATCTCATCACCAAACTCAACTTTCTCGTACACAATCTTTCACAGTATGTCGTCCTTTCGCATTTTGGTCACCACAGTCATAAATTTCCAGCACGAATCTCATAGTTTTTTTTTTCTGCATCCTCACGACCGGGTAGCTGCAGTCACAACCCTCTGTGCTGCGTCCTAAATGCCTTTGGCGCAGCGGTTGGCGCGTGTGCTGCCGCCAAAACAGACAACACCATTACAGTTCAAGCGTCAGCTAGTAGGGTGCGTGTCGAGACCAGCAGCGGAAACAGTACAGGCGGGCCGGACATGGTGTAGCCGGCGACGCACAGGGAGCTGCCGGACATGGGCGAGCGCAACCACGCCGCGCCGGGAGGAGGCGAAGCAGCCGTCGATCTTTGCAGAGCTGTTTCCCGACGAAGCATCATCTTCACGAGAAAACAGAATACCAGACAACACGGAAGAGCAGATCGATGACACAAGAGAACCACAAACTGACGGGAGCGCTATCCCTGAGGACGTACGACAATGGCTGGAGAACGAGAGCGAGGCTGCCGAAGGCGACGAGGACGTCAGGGAAGCAGATGCCGCCCCGGGCACGAACACATCTGCCCAAGCGAAGCCAAAAAAGCGCAAAACAAACCCAACAGTGCTTGTGCTGTCCGGAACGACACCGTCCCTGCTTCCTAGCGACTTCTTCCGCATAGCACCGAGGGCTGCACCAGCGTCGTCCGAGCTAGATGCCGCCGGCAGCAGCCGCCGTTTCGTTGATGGCTGGGCGGCCGGCAACGGCGGCATCTACAAGATTGTGCAGGACCGCGACCCGGCGACGCTCGCTCCACGTGGCCGCTACTTTCTCTACTTTGGCTCGTCCGCCGCGGCCCTGGCGTACTCGCAGGAGGTGCGCGAGCTGCATGTGCTGGCCCGCCGCGCCGTGCAGCAGCCGCAGCGAAACGCCGCCAGCGCCAAACGGCGCCATAAGCGGAAACAGGAGGACCAGGTAGGCTTTGGCGGGGGAAGTAGTATGGGTGGAGGCGCCAGCGGCGGTGGCAGTGTGTATGCGTCACTGGCCGGCAGCATCAGCAGCGGCGGCTCCGGCACGGGCAGCGACGCGTACTTGGCGACGAGCGCCACTCCAGAAGAGGTGGCGGCTCTGCGCAGTTTCTCGCTGCTGGCACCGACGGCGCAGCTCGATCTCGTGATGCAGATGCCGGCAGGTAGCAGCGTCGGTCCCAGCGCGACGTCATCGGCCATTACGCTCTACGACGAGGAAGAGCTGGACGACGTGGCCACCACGACGGCCACCACAAAGGTACTCGTGGTGCTCGAGGACACAAGCTCTAGTGGCGGTGGAGGCGCTGGCCGACAGCACCGTGATGACGGTGACGGTTGGCAGGAGAGCGTCGCTGCTGGCTCGAGCAGCGGCCGCGGCGTCACAACAGTCGACGGCCTGCGCGCCCTCATCGAGGCGGATGGCGTGCGCCGGAACCTGCCGTGGGCGGTCTCCGACGGCCTCAATGGCGTGGTGCCCGTCCAGTGGCTGGTGGCCGAGCAGAAGCGGTTACTACACGATGCTGTCAAGGCAACCAATGCCCGGGCGGCAGCTAAAAGGCGGCGCAAAAAGGCCGAGGCCGAGGTACAGGCAAAACAGAACCCGGGACCACAGCACCCGCCGGTCGCGCTCTGGGCTTCGCGCGTACCCGACCTGGTCACCAAGACGGACCAGATGAACGAGAATGCGCGCTTCTCGCGGTTTGTGGTGGCGTTTGCAGACTCTGTCGAAGCCCGGCGGTTCGTGCGCAACTGGCACCGACGGGCTGTTTCCGTGCCAGGTGCAGGGGGCGCTGCAGCATATGAGCAGACGGCCATCGTGGATACGACTGTGCTGTGGTGAGACTGGGAAGTGTGAGGAACAGCATGGCGTATGTTTCTTATGTTACAAAACGTACGTTGGAGTCACAATCGTAAGACATGTATATAAAAAGTATATAATGTGGATAGAACATCCTACTGACTTGGTTCTCTTGCAACTTGCTTTTCCATGTGCTAAAATAAAAATCACAAAACAATGTATTTTTATGCCGAGATCGAAGGAGAGAGCAATTACATAAAGCTGTGTACTGCATGCAGAACAGACGGTGTGCCACAGACGAGGAAACCGGCAAAGAGTACAGACAAAAATATATATGGAACTTCGATACAATAGGGTAAATGAAAAGACGGACTAACAATGGGCAATTCGAGAGGGAAAATGAAACGATCACAAGAGGCAAGAACAAACAAAGCAAAGAAGAGCAAAGCAAAGCAAAAATGGTACCAAAACTCCGAGAAAAGCCGCCCAGGTATCTGCCATCCCCCATTTGTCCTTCTTCGCGTCGGCTTGTGCAGTGCATCGGCCATGACGACAAAACTCGACCAATGCAGCCCTCGTCCACGTTCCGCGTCTATGTGTCTACTACCGCCATTCTCTTTTCCTCCCTTTTGTTCCTGGGGTGCGCACTTCGTCTCCCTGTCTTGAAACCAGAAACGGCCCGAGGCGAGTGACAATATGTCGTGTGTTTTGTTTTTTTTTCTGTTTTCGCAGGAGAGTGTCTGCCGCTGGTTCGTTTTCGTGTATATCGTCTCTGGTGTGGGGCTTGCTTGTGGACATTAAAATGGTAGAGAAGTTTTTAAAAAAAAAATAGAGGTAAATGAGGTACACGAGGTAAATGACAAAACAAGCGTTTCTTAACAGCACTTGCCGCCAAAGCCACTGTTGTCGCCGTTCTGGCCAGACACGTTGACGCCGGATGCTGGCGTCTGCTCGGTCTTGGCGGTGTCGATGATGCGCGACTTGATGTCGGCCGCCAGGCTGTAGAAGGCCTTGTCGATGTTGATGCCGCTCTTGGCTGAGACCTCGAGGAAGGGGATGCCGAGCTCGTTGGCCAGCTGCTGGCCCTGCTCGGTGGAAATAACGCGCTTCTCTTCCCAGTCGCACTTGTTGCCAATCAGAATCTTGTTGACGCCCTCGGTGGCGTGCTGCTCGACGTTGGAGAACCACGTGCGAATGTCTGCGTTGTTAGGGTCTGTTTGGAAACGAAACGGTGTGTGCGTACATGCGGAGTGGGGGCCAGGGGGGCCATGGTGGACTCACTCTCAAACGACCGTTCGTCGGTCACGTCGTAGACGAGCAGGATGCCCATGGCGCCGCGGTAGTAGGCCGTGGTGATGGTGCGGAAGCGCTCTTGGCCGGCCGTGTCCCAGATCTGCAGCTTGACACGCTTGCCATCGAGCTCGATCGTGCGGATCTTAAAGTCGATGCCGATGGTCGTGATGAAGCTAGGCGTGAAGGAGTCCTCGCTGAAGCGAAGCAAGCAGCACGACTTGCCGACGCCCGAGTCGCCGATGAGGAGCAGCTTGATCTGAAAGAGGCGCAAAAGGTCAGCAGGTCAGCACGCAGTCAAACGAAGAGGGGGGGAGTCTGAGGCGGCGAAGAGGGGCCACGCACGAGAAAGTCGTAATTCCTGTTGCCAGCCATTGTGAAGAGTGTGTTGTCGAGGGCAAAGAAACAGAATCGAAAGACAAAGCAGCCGGGAGGAATACGTGTCGAGCACGAGTTTCGTTCGTGATGGTACAACGCGTGTGTCGTGGCCGCAAAAGAACACACAAGGCGGTGTCGAAGTTCGCTCGTGGGCTTGTTGCGTTTGACGGGTTCCCCTAATTTGGTGCACTTCTAGTCGTATGGCCTGGTGCCTTTCTGTACGAAGCAGTTGTCGAGCACCCTTGCTTCTTTTTCGTTTCTCCTTTATTTGCAGAAGAGTGGAGACAGTACGAAACGTGGAGACTCGTGGACGGGGAGAACGCGGTGACGTGGTGATGTCGGTGTACTAAACATAGACGGGGCGGCTGGCGACAGTGGTGACAAGGGGGCAATGGCGAGAGGTTCACAGGATGAGTCGACAACGACAATTCCAATGCTCAGTTTCGCTCAGGCGACGCAACGTCGTCAGACGCAGCTGTGTCCTATCGTAAAGGCGGTTGATTTCGCTGTTTGGCGCTTGAGAGGGGTGTCAGAGGAGAGGCGGACGAGAGAGATTGGCTGCAGGCGTGGCGGGCGAGAAGAGCAGCGGGCAATGGCTCGTAGTCGTTGTGACAGGCGAAAAGCAGACGTGAGGTCAAAAAGTGGCGATGTATGGAGTTAAGATCTTGGAGGGAAGAACGTGGCAGGTCTGACGAGACGAAAGGGGAAGTAAGAAGGAAGTATGTCTCTGTCTGTCGTTCGCAGTTTACTGCGTATTACTGTGTAGGCTGCTTCCCTTTTTTCGGCCCTGGGTCGTTCCTGCCCTTCCGCTTCGCTTCGCCGTTTCGTTGGCTGGAATGGAAGAACGAGGAAAGAGGGGTGGTTGGCTGGCAATTTACGGCGGAGAGCCTATTCTGTACTATCGACTGCCTACTGAGTACGGGGCCTGCCTGGCACTTGCCCGTTGGCCGACTTTTCATGGCTGACTAGCGTAGCTGAAGCCGGCCAGGCGAGACAAAGGAAGTACCAGGTCCAGCAATATTGGTGCAGAGGGACTTTCGCCAACTGACGCACGTGCTGCCGAAAAAAACGACAGCAAGAACAGGAAGGCGTGGCGCAGCGCTCTTTCCCGACGAGACACGTTCAAAATCGGCGGTGCGAATAGTCGGTGCCTGCTTGACGCCGGAACACGAAGGTTGGGAGTTGGCTACCAGGCGAAGTGACAGGGAAGCGCCTCGCCAGGCTTCTGGATTCTTAGACAGTGCGTGTTAATCTGGAACCGGACGCCTGGAACAGCATGTAGGCCACTCGGGCCCCTGCAGTAATGTGCCTTTTGCCATGTTGTAATCCTGCAGTCGGCAGAAATTGGCCACTGACGGCAGGTGCCCTCCAACGAACCTTCCGCAACAAAGGTTAAGACGTAGATGCTGTCCACGCCACCGCTTTTGCCTCCTTCCAAATGTGAACGAAAGGTTGCACTGCTGTGGACCAATACGCCCAGCCCTCTCAGTCCGCCGGAACGGCCCCATTAGTGCTGTCCGCATTGACTTCCAGCTGAGTGTCGTCATAGCCTGTGTCGTCATTCCTCCACAACCAACCGCCTCCTTTGACTTACAGAGTCCATGTGCATTGCAGTCTCGTGGCATATCTCGCATCCATATGATGATTACGATTCGTATAGAATCGCTGTATTCTCCCATATTCTTACTTCTATGCCTCTATGCCAGAAATCAAATCACAAAACTAAATGTCAAGATGTGTGCTCCGTAAACTATACAGCCAAAAAAACGTAAAATTCTGCTCGTTCCCAGTGCCATGAACCGTTTTCCAATGCTCCTATGACCCTCCGGGATCCATCATGTTGGCCGCCTCACTGTTAACCCAAATACCGCCCATAGGCCCACCGCACACGGTCGAGCGCCAGCCGCTGCTTGTCAACCGTCTTGCCGTTCAGCATCTCATCCACGTCCTCCAGAAACTCCTTTTCAATGTCACCGGGGAACAGACCCACGGCCAAGCTGCGCAGCACATGCACCTCGCAGACCAGTAGACCGCGGTGCTTGTATGACAGGATGCCGTTCATCGTGGCCAGGTCGACGGTGGCATCGCAAAAGATGCGGTCGATGTTGCGCAGCACGCGCACGCACTTCTCGACGCGCTGGCCGCGGCGCAGACCCTTGCGCCCATACAACAGGCCACGGACGTACCGCAACGCGGCAAAGCTGACGAGGACGCCGGGCGTCAAGCCAACAAACCCAAACACGAGCTCTTGGCTCTTGAGCAGCGCGTCAATGCCGCTAATGGCCACCTCAAGGTCGACCTTGGTCTTTTGCACCTGGATGAGCAGCGACCGCACCAGATCGCCACGCACGGCGCCCTGGAACGGCTTCCGCAGGCCGGTTTCGTACGCCCGCAGTACGGGCGTCACATCGCCCTCCCGGACCTTGGCGCGGATCGTCGACAGCTCCACCTCGGTCAGCGCCGACGCGGAGCCCGCCAACTCGGGGCGGTCCACAGCAAACTCGACCACCATCCGCTCGAGACTCTCGCGGTCGGACTGGAGGCTGTCGCGGCTCATAATAGCAATCTCGCTGTTGGAGTCGTGGCGGACGGTACCAATGATTTTCGTGACGGGCTCAATCACCCAGTTGAACCAGAAGTCGCGCACGGTCGAACCAAAGTCGCGGATCCACTGCACAATGTCCTCTTGGCGGTTCGCAACGATGCGCAGCAGCGTCGACGACGATAGCAACAGGATACCGGCCGGCAGCCAGTAGCGCAGCAGCCGAGGCGGGCGCCCATAGTCTTTCACAACCAACTGGAGGTCGCCGACAAGCCCCGGGATGCCCTGGGCCAGCAGTTGGTCGAGGCGCCGGGCCAGGCGCGCAGGCTTGTTGGCGTCGAATTGGTTGGCCGTCAGGATGGGGTCGCCCTGCACGTCATTGAACACCTTGTCCTCAAAGTCCAGCACAGACGACTCGACGGCCAGAACATCCGTGGTGACCTGGTCCATCAGCGACACGCTGCGTTCGACGACGCCCTTCCATCGCCGACCATTGTCGGCCGTAATAGCCTTGAGGTCCGTGCCCTCGTCCAGGTCAAAGCGGAGGCCCTCGTCGATCAGAATGCCGAGCCCGCTGGCAATCAGTTGCCGCAGCCGCTTCAAGCGTTTCTGGTTGTGTCGCGCGTCGACCCGGCACCGTGCAATGGGCGACAGCAGACGCCGCTCGAGACCTGCAAAAGACCGCTGGGCAATGCCCCGGCGCACAATGGCATAGAATTGCTGCCATTGCTGCGTGAGCGAGGCGCTGCCAGACCGGATGGCGCCGAGCGGCGTGTGGGTGGCGGCAGCAAAGCGCGTCCGACTCTCGACGACTACCTGGCTGACCTCCTTGGCCCAGTTCCAGAACCGCAGCGGGGATGTCTGCACCGTGTACAAGCTGAGGCTGCCGTACGAGGACAGGATGTCGTCCCAGTACCAAATGTCGTCGTGCAAGGGTGTGATGCGCTCTAGCAACGTGTTGAGCAGTATACCATACACCTGGACGGTGGCTTTGCTGACCAGGAGCCACTCGACCTCAGCTGCCAACTCGCCTTTGTCGCCCGGACCGTCACCTCCTCCTCCTCCTCTGGGAAGCTGCCCTGGCACAGCACTGCCGGCGCTTGGTGACAGGCTGCCATTCTCCGATTCGCTGCTGCCCTCTTCTGCGCCATCGGTGCCGATCCGCCGGGGGCCGTGGAGGTCGAGATAGCCCTCTTGCTCCTGCTGGCGCTTCTCCTCCTCTTCGATCTCCTTGGCGGTCTGCAGCAACCCGGACTGCTGTAACAGGCCTCGTATGCGGGTTGTGGACAAAATGGGCTGAGAGGACGAGGTCGAACTCAGATTCTTGACAATTTTGAGCAGGTCGTTGACGTACGGCGACGACAGGGCGTCGATGCTAGCCTCGTTTACGGAGCCATCGGTGTTGGCGGCCGCGTCGGTCTCGTAGGACACAAGTGGTCCACGGGTAATTCGGTCAATGTCGGCCTCCCAGGCACGTACGTTGCTACACAGCGGGAGGACAAAGGTCGCGTCACGTTAGCCAAGAGGGTGCTCGGGCAAACAAAAACGAATCAACCATGTGCTCCATAGTCCCAAGTATTGCTTTTGGGGTGTAAAGCTTCAAATTGAATCAAAACGGTTGGTCAATGGCCCCAAGAGGACGGAACTGGGGGAAGGGAGGGACAGGCACGCACTCTACGACAATCGACATGGGGGGCAGACGGCAGCCTGCGTTGGGAGATCCGTCAGGAAAGAATGAAGGAAGACGTAAAAGCACACACAAAGGATAAGGTAGTGTGCTTTGGAGGAGGCGGTGTGTCGTCACGGTTCAAGGCGCAAGGCGTGTCGCGGCAAGCTCCTCAAGCTTGTCCACCAAATCCGTCTGAAAAAGTTAGGTTGCCTGATATGTGGCACAAAATAAGGTGGGCTGCTTTCTCAAGTCCGGATGCCCGACATCCGTTGTGGGGTAGTTCGACGCAGCTTTCTCTGTTTTGGTTGGGTTTGTCCTTCCAAAGTCACGCCAAAAACGGAAGCGCTTCGATCCGGCGGGCGCCCAACTCACAGAATAATCCGATAAGCTCTGCAGGTGGCTATTGATCCTGATGGCTTTTGGTGTGGGTGCGTCTTGTTCTTGTTCGTATTCGGACAGGGGCACAACGCGGGGCGCGCCGGGCGGCCACAGGACAGCTTCGGGTTTTGCAGTGTCCCTCGCTGCACGTCACGTCGAGTTTCTCACGGGCTGAAATCCAGTGGTATTGGTGGCGAGTGTGTGCTGTGTGGAAACATGCGATTCTCGAGTACATACAAATGCCAGTTGAACAACCAACCCCCAATGGACTGGCGTGAACTTTTGGGGGGCTGTAGCGGAGGGAGAGGAATCGTTAGCACTTGACAGTGAAGTTGAGATTAACATTGGCGAAATTTGAGACAAGGGGTGGTGGGAAAAGGAGTCTCTATTACTTCCTGCGTCGTTGATATTCGGAGATGCAGATTCCAGAAAGCAGAAAGACACCAAATACAGCACAGGGAAAGAAGAAGGAGCTACAGCGCCAGAGGAAGGAGCAGGACAGAGCTTGTATTCTGTCGAAACAAAGAAGGGGCGACTTAAAGAACAACCTGCTTTTGGACGGCAGGTGCGATGAGATCTTGGCCAGGTCGCCAGCAATTTCGCCTGGCAGAGAAGGTGGCAGGTGGCAGGGTCAAGCCTCATGCAGGTGCGACCAGCGGCGACTCGCCTAGAACAATGAAAGAAACTTCTGACTGCGACAATCACAAGCCACCAAACTTTGCAAGAATTGCACACTGGCTCCCCCTGGACGAAAAAAAGCGTACTCGCAAAGCTATTTAGTGGGGTTCCTTACACTGTTAAGAGTGTTACAATGAGGATTCCTTGCTCTGTTAAAGTGCTAAAACGGTTTGTGAGTGCGCTTTATTTTGGCCAGATGGAGACTGGGACCACTAAAGCACCAATTTGCCGTTGTTCTGCGTTCTGCCAGGCACAACACAGTTTATCCGTACTGTATAAAACGTGGACCATACTGTGCGTGGCGAGCCCCACGCCGTTGCAACTGCAGCATGTGATTGGCCCGGGACACGGATCGCAGTTGCTCGACATGGGCTCATTCACTCAACAATTCCATCCACCCGCTCTACACTGGCCCACCGCCTTCCTCGTTTGCCTGGTGATTTTTGACCCCTGGATGGAAAGAGCCAAAAGAGGGAGGCGACTGACGGGCCATTGGGGAAAATAAAATAAAACGCCTTCGCAAGCGCATCTCCTTCTCGATTGACCCTTTTCCAGAGCCATTCTCTTCGCGGAACACAATCTGGGGCGTGTCTCTTCTTCGTTTCCCCTATTGCCAGTTATCTCTCCGGCTGTCTCTCCTTGTGTCGTCCTTTTCTGTTTTTGGTTTTGCATATCTCGTTTTAATTGATCCCGCGCTGCCCATTGCTTGGGACTCTCGACTTTTCTTTTCGACCAGCCCCTTTTGTTCAGCACTGCATCACGCCCACCAAACATGGCTTCACTGTATGTGCTCTTGCACCCGGTTTGGCATCTGACTGTGACGCGCTTCTTGCCACCGTGCTGACATTGTCTCTCCATAGTCTTTCTAACGCGACGTTCGCCAACGGCACGTTTGCTGGTATCGCCAGCGGCGCCAACGACCTCTATGGCGTCTTCGAGGAGGTGTCCAAGTACAATGTGCAGCTCAACATTGCCGAGCGCCTGTGGGCGTCGTGGTACCTCTGGATGCAGAACGACGTTCTCGCGACGGGCATTCTCAGCTTCATCATGCACGAGACGGTGTACTTTGGCCGCTCGCTGCCCTGGATCATCCTCGACTCGATCCCGTACTTCAACCAGTGGAAGATTCAGAACCAGAAGGTGCCGACCGCCAAGGAGCAGTTTGACTGCGCCGCGCTTGTTCTTTTGAGCCACTTCACAGTCGAGCTGCCGCAGATCTGGCTGTTCCACCCCGTCGCGACCTACTTTGGCATGGAGTTTGGCGTGCCGTTCCCCCCGGCGTGGAAGATTGCCATGCAGGTGGCCATCTTCTTCGTGATGGAGGACGCCTGGCACTACTGGTTCCACCGCGCGCTGCACTATGGCCCCCTATACCGCTCGATCCACAAGCTGCACCACACGTACTCCGCGCCGTTTGGTCTGGCGGCCGAGTACGCGTCGCCCATTGAGGTCATGCTGCTGGGCATGGGCATTGTGGGCTCACCCATCATCTGGGTGTCGCTGTCCGGCGACCTGCACCTGGTGACCATGTACATCTGGATCATCCTGCGCCTCTTCCAGGCGATTGACGCGCACAGCGGCTACGACTTTCCCTGGTCGCTGCGCCATATTCTGCCCTTCTGGGCGGGCGCCGACCACCACGACCTGCACCACGAGAAGTTCATTGGCAACTACGCGTCGAGCTTCCGCTGGTGGGACTTCTGCCTCGACACCGAAGCTGGCCTCGAGGCCAGCAAGAAGCGTCGCGAGAGGAAGCTCGCCCAGCTCAAAGCGAAGAAGGCGCAGTAAAGATGGGTGTGCATTTTGTTCCTGCTACCGCAAGCAGCAGCCAGCTAATCCATCTGTTATGCGACGCGCCGCCAAGGCAACTGTCGATCGCCAATCACCGACCGGCTTCGACCAAGGCGTACGCTACTTTGGCTAACACGTCCCTCGACGACGGTTTGTTGACTCCCTACGTCACAACCAGTGTCTAGCCACTCATACGTTTACCCAGAAACTGTAACAGTGTTCTTGGTTGGACGCTTTCCTCATTTCATTTCTTTCTATGCGGGCGTTTGGGCGGGCGCTCGGATGCGTATGGGATCATCAAAAGCCCTGCATTTTGCTCTTTTTCAAATGTCCATATTGCCGTCGACGGGTAAGGGAAGGGTTCATAAGTGGCGACCCTTCGCCACACCGTTTTACTCATTCATCTATGCATCAAGACACACAACGATAGACTTAATATTTTTAATTGACTTTAGAAGAGGCAAAGATCTTTTTTTTTATTCATGAATTCGCGTGAGTGACGAAAGCCGTGTTCCTATGCCCGAATATGATTCCACCGTACGTCTTACAGCACCACACCGATCAGTCCTCTTCAGCTGCGCGTGGTGCAGTCACAGCTGGCTACGCCTGCCGCGCTGTCGGCCAGGCTTGAGAGTGTGTCCGCCGCGTTGTCCACCGAGGTCGGCTCTGCAGTGGTTGCATTGGCCGGCTTCGCCTCCTTCGCTTCCGGAGCGGGTGCCTCAGCCACTTCGCCAAAGGCGCGGGCGAGCTCGTCGCACAGCACGGCCAGTTCAGTGTCCTCGACAGTCAGGCCAGGAGCCAAACCAGGGCCAGGGTTATGGGTCGTCCACCGGATGAACGTCGTGTTGTAGACCTGTTGTAGGGAGCCGAAGTCAATACAAAAAGTACATGTGTCCATATCGTGTCCATATCGTGTCCATATCCATATGGAAATGAAACACGGCGAGCTAGATCTTACATTCGACCACTCCGGATGGTGATTCTTGAGCTTGGACTGCAGTGCCACGGCCGTCATAAAGTCCTGAAACTGAGTTAGCCAGTGCCAGTGCATATTATAGTGATCACGGGGGAGTAGGTTTCATCTGATTATCTACCCAAGTCTTGGTAAAGTTCTTAAACTTAAAGGAGCGCTCGATGCCCAGGCCATTGGCCGTCACGGCCCACCGGCCAGCACCAGGCGACTGTGCCGCGCCATCGACCGCAACCAACGTCTCCAGTGCCGTCCGGACCGCGGTCTCGTCGGCTTCCGTCTTGCCCACGATCTGGGGATGCCGTGCACCTGTCATGATCTTCGCTGTGATCGAAAAGGCCCGGGTTTGTGGCAAGGGATTGTGTGATACGACGTCTAGGCAAGTGGGCCGTGTGGCCACAGTGCAACCCGAGTAAACAGGAGCACTTAATACAGCTAAGGACGTGATCCGTCCGACTCTTGAAGATGGCGACGATGGCAGTGCAACGCGCTTGGTGACAGCCCGGCACGAACCACGAAGCATTGGGTCGGGGGGAGTGAGGGGTGGATACGAGTTCGTGTGCGAAGGACAGAATAGGAAAATGGTTACCTGCAACCGGAGAGGTCTCCAATAGCAGACGACAAGCAAGCTTGGCGAGGTGAGGGTAATCGTACACTGCTGATGCCACTCCTGAGCGTATCAGCGTATCTGATTCTGTGGTCCAGTTTCGTCCGATTGTCGTCGTTACTAGAGCTTTTGTGTGATAGGCGGGAGGACTCAATGTTGCTCGGTGTATATTGGCCGGCTCAGTGTTGCGCGGACGGCTGTCGTCGACTTGAACCTGTCTGATTACGTCAAGATGCACGTTGGCTTTGTGAGAATGGCTAGCTACCAGTTAAGCACACTAAAATCCACGCGATAGAGGGTGTGAGCCACCCGAGCCACCATTCTGTGGAGAGCTACAGGGGGCTCGTCACCACTAACCACAATTTTCAGGTCGCCATCGCACTGTATTAAGACTCCAGTGGCGACCACTAAGACGCTCACCACCTCACATCAGTAAACTGGCAACCACTCTTCAGTGCAAAGCCAGTGCAGTCTCATCGCTTTTGCGCATTCCCCTTCTCATTATATCTTACTTGTGACAGTGTTCATATTGAGCGTCTCAAGTTGTTTGGAGGAGTACAATTCAAGACCACCACCACTGTCGACGAGTGACAGACACAGATGAGATACTAGAAATCAGTTGTATGAGACTATCGTGACAAACGAAGCCAGAAAATAACAGTGCAAATGCATAGACGAGATCATGTCGTTACTTGCGAGGTACTATGCTCAGTTGATGCCGCCGTATGTCTTTTATTTGGTATCAACGCCGTGGTGGCATTAACGCCGTGGTGGTACATGCGCCGTGTACTTATGCCAAATCAAATATACACACAACGGCCGTCGGGCGAATGCACAGCGCAGCAAACAAAACTGATAAGTTTTAAAGTAGCTGATGGACGGTACTACCCGGGACGAGCATACGATATTGATGGGTCTCTCACATTTATGTATGAGCGTGATTCTTACCTCTCCTACCTGTCGACAGTCACGCCACGGCACCACGGTATCTCAAATGGGTTTACATACGTAGTACGTTGACGTATATGGCCGTCTTTGGCACATAGTCTTTGATGACATCCATGCCAAACAGCGTTGTTCCGTGGTGTATCAAGGGGGCAGCGTTTGTTCTAACAACGTGTTATGCGCACTCGCTCGTCGGGGTATTGCGAACCCGTACGGATAAAATGACCAAGACGACAAAATAAGAATCATTTTTAAACACAGCAGTTGAATGACCCAAGCTAGTCAAAGTAACAAGGCCCCAATCTTTGCATGCTAGACTAGACATAACGGCATACGATCACTTTGAGTGGATTAGATGACACCGCCGCCGCCGCCATTTCCGCCGTTGCGGTCGGTCCAGTAACTCAACACCGAAACCTCCATATGAGTGACTGACGTCCTATTTTTATGTTTGAGAAGTTGCGTTTTCAGATACGCCGCATCGTGAACGACAAGGCATGACGGTGCTGGTTCTGTTACCGTTCACTAATCAGTTCCTACGGCGAGCTGCCTAACGGTCCCATGGCCCTCCTCCTGTGAACCGACCATAGCTTACAAATACTACGAAACCCTGCAGGAAATGGACGGCAAATACGAATCGTACTCCGATAAGATATTGTGGTTGCAAGTTGAAAGCTGTGGGTGTTTGATTTCAACTGCAGTATGCAAGTTGTTGGACGTAAAAGACGGGAACGCAGAGCCCCCGGCGACGGGGACCGGCGGCCGCGCTGACCTCTGGACGCCGGCCTGGCCAATGACACGCCCTACGACAGTTTCTTACACCAGGTATGGTATCCGTCTCTCATATCGTGGGCTTCCCAGCGTCTCTCCTCCCAAACGTCCCGACTCTCTCGGTGTCGACCCACAACAGATACCTCCTCATCTGCATCAGCAGGAAAGGTAGTTTGAACAATGTGTGTCGTATTCGCGTGAAGATTGTGAGAACCTAGTGTATATCTTCCAGTCTCATGTCATTGGCGACGGCACAATATGTTGACACCATTATATTCTAGGGCTCTGATACTGTGATTGCTAATGTGACCCAATACAGGTAAGCAGCCCTGTAGCATGGCAGGTCTTTCAGAGTGACCCGTAGCATAATTTGATTCTTTATGTTGAATACGAGCTGCGCCGAATGGCCTACTCTGCTTCTTTCAAGCGGCCGAACACAAAGCTACAAACATTCTAGAACGCTAGAGTTGAAGGGTACTTGACTTGGCCATAAAAATAAAAGAGCTGCTGGATGTCCGTCGTGAAAAGTGAGGAGTCAGAGCTCACCTCAGACACTGTCGTTTACTGAAAACGAATAAAATTAATTCAAAAACAAGTGCATAAATATTGACGTGCATGTCACGTGCCCTTGTGGTCGTTTCCCGCCTCGTAGGCGTCTGAAAACAACCGCCTGGACGCTTGGCGTGCCCGAGCGGAAGGCGAAGAGTTTACGTAATATATTAGTTGTTTCAAAGACCCACTTATAGATGGCGTTGCTTACGTATTCCCACGCCACAAAAAGCACACACCATGCACCATCATGACCAAGAAATATGACGCGAGACCGCAAGGTCATCCAAAAAGTGGCAATCTCAAGGCGGGAACTTTTTTGAAAAGGGTCCTGGTCCCCTCTCCCTCGTACGGCTTGGCGTGTACGACATTATTGCACTATCCAGCGTGGGATCCAGTAACGGATGCCTGCCACCGTCTACACTTTTGATTTCCTATTGCCAATGTCGTATTGTCCGTATGGATCCTGGACCCTCTCCTGCTTATGGCCGCTTGTCGTGGACCTTGCGCGTAACTCGCTCTGCAGTGTTCACTGCCTGTGCTTGTCAATAAACGTCGTCGACGGCCAAATTGGGAAACTGGACAAGACAAAAGTGGAACTGCCGACGTTTCCGACACGAGGGAAGAAGGAAGGAGGGAAGGAAGGGGGGAAGGAAGCAGCGTATGAGAAATCCGGACGGAATGAGGAATGGGGATTGAGGAATGCAGACGGAGGACAGAGGAATTGCAGCACTACGACGTTCAATGCGCTGTGATACAATTGGACGCCCACTGACAAGAGGTTGTTTGGGCTGACAAATCATGCGACAACACCAAACGCCGCCCGGCCGCTCAGCAAAATAACGCGTCTGCCTTCTCTTCAGTTTCTCCACAGGTGCTTTCGGCTTCTTTCTTGCCAATCCATTTTTGGCATCTCATTTTTGTTTCCGTGCTCCGAGCACAACTCCGCTGCCCCTTCTTCTTTACCCACTCCGTTTCATGCTGACTGAGCCTGGGATGTTTTGGCCCATGATGACTTTGTTCTGACTACACACACCCGAAGTATCGGCCCAAAACGAGCAACACACCAACAAACGTCGACGCCATAGTGACGCCAATCCCAGAACGTCAGTAGTCTCTCGCGTCGGAGACATCCAGACCGAGACGACATTGAGAGGGAGCGAGAGCGTGAGCGGCCTCTGGCATCCATCGGTGTTGCTTTTTGCCGCAGATTTCTGACGGGCTGGTCGTTGGGTGCCCAGAAGAGCTGACGAGGGAAAAAACGACCGCCGTCATCCGGTGTTCTTCCCTCGGAGCTCAGTCATTCGCATTCGGGTAGGTAAGCAAAACACTGTCGTCTGCCTCACCATCACCGATCACAAATGGAAGCAGCCATAAACCAAAAAGCAACGACGAAAAATACGCTGCTTTATAACGGGGTGTGCTTTCATTCACTTTGAGCATACCACCGTGGGCCGATGCCCAGCCACGCGATTTGGATCCCCCCGTTTTCCCCCTTCCGCCGCTCCGTCTCTGTAGCCTCTGTAATTTCCTCGATAATCTGGCGCGTCCGCTGTTTTTTTTTTTTTTGGTGCCCAGCCATTTTTCGCGTCACGAGGAGAGACACTTACCTTTGGCCCCTCTCTTTCCAGAACCGCAGGCCAATTTGGCCACGCCCCAAAATACTTGACTCACGCCCTGACTTTGGCTGAGTCAGAACAGTTTACAGAAACATCTTGGCCAATCGAACACATCTCAAGATGGCCAAAAGGAGACGCGCCGCCAACGCCTCGGCATCCAGTAAGGGTAAGTCATCGTTATTTTGTTGATTGCTTTTGCTGTCTTTTGCAGTCGTTTGCCCGCGACTACAATTGCTGTTGTACTCTCTGCCCTCCGTCGTCTACGTCCCTGCCTTCGCAATGCTGCAGACGCCAAAAATAGACAGAAAGGCGTGCCCCAGTGGCATCGAAATCCGAGAAAGTATGACCAGACCAGCGAAGCTTTGTCATGTTTCGGCTTTCCGCTTGCGTTATGTTAAATGTTAGGTGACGGGCCTAACGCTACTCTCCGCATGCTCCCGCGCTTGATTCCATTACCCACGCACCACAGCATCCTACACGTATCTTACATGTACTACGTACGGAGACAATATCGTCTCGTCCGCGGCAGGCGAATTCCGATTCCGCGGCGCAGTTTTCATCTCGTCTCTCCTCCACCTAATTTTCTTACCTAATTACACGCAGGCCCGGCACTTTGCAAGCGTACAAGTCGCTCGGTCGCTTGCATGTCCTCCGTTTTGTCTGCATCTCGAGAGGGGAGCTGATTAGAATAGTCGCTGTTGCTGTCAAGGTGTCAGCCCATACGCCCTCCGGCGGCCGCCGCGCGCTCCTGCCATGACATACCTGTGCACTGCTCCTGTGACTCGTTTGATGAGAAAGAACAGAAAAAGGAAGGCAGCTGTGTACGACGACCGTACCCCGTACCTGCCTCCTCTCTTGCCCCCATCGTTTTCTCTTGCCTTGTTTGTCTCACGCTTCATTCCAACGGCCGCTTTCACACCCTGGTCCACCCGTCCCGGGAACTTCCCAAATACAGTGGCCTCAGTGCTCGTACTCACGCTAGTGCGGCTGGCGCTACTTTTCTTGTTGGTACGGAGTGGCTATTGCCTCCGCCGTGTTTAAAAGCACCCGCGTGTCCCCTTCCAACTGTGATTACGAAATCGCCTTCCTTACCTCATCTCCCCCAATTTTCCAACTTACACCCGCTCTTTCTAATCCCGGCCTATACCACCACGCTGCCCATCTGCGCCTTCCTCCTCTTTTTTACTCTTGCGCCTCTCGCTTTCCCATTTTATCTGCTTTGCTTTCCCAATCTTTTTTTTCGGTTCCTTCTCTGGCTTAAATCGTCCTGCTGCTCCTTCTCCATTTATCTCCGCAACAACATCCGACTGTTTTGATTCATTTGTGCAGGACGGAACCTCCCACTTTTCCTTCTGTTTGTACGCCGTAACTGCAACCCTTTTCTTCCCACCAAACAAACATACACCACTACCCTGCATATGACACACATGAGCACACCGCTTGCTCGACGCTCACACTCCTCTGACTAACACGCGTGCCGCTTTCGTCTTGTCAGAAAACGTGACACCCGCCTTGTCGTCCACCGTTGACGATATCAACGCCGCAGCCAATCTTTCGGATCCACAGAGACACGTCGACGCAGCCTATGCAAACAGCGGCGCAAACGCGCAGACAGCCGTCAAGCTCGAGCACGACCTCCAGCCAGCAGACGACGGTTTTATCGACAGCAACAGCAGCTTTGCGCACACCGCGTCTACTGCGTTGCTAGCTGCACATCACGCCGACGTCAACACCGACGTCAACACCAACGTCAACACCAACATCTACGGCGCCGCGCTGGGCTCGTCTGACCCTGACGCCCACATCGATCCTGACTTGAGGCCGCCGTTGTCTCCGTATTCTTTGTCGCGCGCCTTGTATCCTACCGCCACAATGTCGGCCGCCCCTCAGTCTGCCGCGCCCGCTGCTCCGGTCGCATCGCCGCAGCAAGCGCCTGCGCCCATTCCGCAGCAACAGCAGCCGTCATCTCACACAGCCCCGGTGCCTTTGGCGCCGCAACAGTCTCTGTCACCCGCCGGCTCCCAGGAGCACACCGAAGTCATTACGGACGGCCGCAAGGGCCCCCGGCGCGAGCTGTCCACCAGCAAGCGCGCTGCGCAAAACCGCGCCGCTCAAGTCAGTCCAGTCACCTTGCGTTAAGACCTGAAATGAAAGCGGGAAAAACTCTGCTAACTCCCCATCCAGAGGGCCTTCCGCCAGCGTAAAGAGGGCTACATCAAGAAGCTCGAGCAGCAGGTGCAGGACTTTGGCGAAATGGAAACCCAGTTCAAGATTATCCAATCGGAAAACTACGCCCTGCGGGAGTATATCATCCACCTACAGTCGCGCCTCTTGGACGCCAAGGCTGAGCTGCCCCAACCGCCTGCGAACCTGAACCTCGCCGGGCCCGGCATGCCACCTATCCTGGGCATCGGTCCGTCGCCGGCCCTTGCTGCGCAGCAGCAGCAGCAGCAGCAGCACGAGCAGCAGGCACAGATCCAGCGCCAACAACAGCTGCACCTGCAACAACAGCAGCCACTGGCGCAGCAGGAGCCGCCATCACAATACCCGGATCCGCCGCAGCCCCAGCAGCAACAGCAGGTGCGCGCGCCGTCACCAGCTGCACACCCTGCCGCCACGCCCACTGCGGCACAGGCTGTCGCTGCGGCTGCTGCGGCCGCTGCTGCTGCGGCCGACACCTCATCGCGCGAAGCCAACACCGTCGCTGGCTCAGACTCCAAAAACGACTCGTCCCTTGCGCGCGTGGCCCAGGCTGTCGCCCAGCTCGGCAACAACGGCAACACCCCGGCCACCGCCATGGATACCAGCCGCGACGACCCTGCTAACGGCATCAAGGCCGACAACAACACCAACGGCAACGGCAACGGCAACGGCAACGACGCCGGCGAGCCCATGGACACGTCCGAGGAGGCTATCAGCCAGAAGCTGCAGAAGCTGTCGGAGCCTGTCTTGTCCATGTAAAAATGGGCCGAGTACGGTACCTCGGGCGCACGGTTCACCACTGTCGCTTTCTTTGCGGCCTTCACTTCGCTTCTTGCGCACACTCTTCCTTTAACCTTTTATTCTATTTTTTATTCTATTCTTTTTCTTTTTTTACATAACCCTTGTTTCCGATAATTTTTGCTTCTGTTCTGCTTTATCCTCTTTGTGGTTCCTAACGGGTGTTTGCTATTATGCTATTTTTTTTTCTTGTGTTTCTAGTCCTTGTTCGGTTATGTCTCTGTTGCTGTCTGTCGTCAATACCGTTCTGGCTTGTTCGCTCTCCCCGACGGGTGGGAGGTGGAAGAAAAGAGGCCCGTCCTAGTTTTTTGTTTATGTTTTTCTTTTTCACACTTGGGTTCGCGGCGTTCAGAAAAAGATGCTTTTTATTGCTCTTCACGTGTCGCTGCTTTTTTAGTCGTTTTAAAATGCGTACAACTAGGACTCTGTCTCCTATTTATTCTCTACCTTCTTTGCATGCCGACGTGGGACAGTGCTCGTGTACTCATCGTTGCTTACACCTGGTGTGTATTTCGACTTACATAATCTGGTGTATAGTGTTGGTTTCCATGACTATCTGTTTGCTTATTATTTTGGTGTGGCTCGGTAGATTTGTTTTATATATTTCATGTCCCGTCGACATAAATTGCCTGTTTAGTTTTCTTTACTTTAGCTTTGTGTCTACCTCCTCACTGCCTAATTCAGGCCGGCATATGTTACTATGACTGTCGTGAGGAAGTGTTTTCATTCCAATTAAGCCATTCTTCGACCTAGACGAATCGACCTAGACCGACAACGACATCACTTCAAGAGGACAAAATGTGAGATATGAAATTCCTTATTGCAGTCCAAATCCCCCTCGCCACAAAAAAATAATCAAATCATCAGATAACGCCTTGCTGCCACTGCATTGCTTATATTGATTTTGGTTCCTGCAGACCCTTTATTGCTTTCTTTTGCAACAATGCGTGTCACCTCTTTCGCCCTTGGGGCCTCGTTTGCACCTTTACCTCTGTTTCTGTTTCTGTCTTGGCTTCCACGTCGGTCGTTGCTTACACCTGCGTCTCCTAACTCGTCGAAGTGAATGCATTTCCTTGGTCGTGTTCCTGTGTGCATGTTTAGCAAAACGATCTCGCTCTATATCGTAGCAGCACGTGAGACAAGACAGCCGACTCACCTTGATGTACTCGGGACCCTTCTCTTGGTACTCCTCCCGGGTCACAGCAGCCTGGCGCCATGCCGACGACCCGGCCCACTCGGCCGCTCCCCGCCAGGCATCCGTCAGAGGATCTTTGGCGCGGCGCAGCTGCAGTGGCGCACCCGCCGGCAGCAAAGCCTGCAGCCCCGCGTGCAGCCGCTCGTCAAAGTTCTGGAACAGCGTCAGGCCGCCCGTCAAGAACACGTCGCGCAAAAAGTCGTTGCGGTCGATCCCGACCAAGCCCGTCAGGCGCTGCGTCAGGATGTCGCCCGCAATCTCCACGAGACCGGCCTGGTCGATGCCGGCAATGGCGCTCGGCTGGAACAGCACCTCGGGCACACGGATGCGCTCGACGTTGAGATGGATCTGGTGGCGCTCGGCCGGGCTGTCCGGGTCAAACGGACGCGGGCCACGCTCAAATGCGTGCAGCATCTTCTTGCTCCAGTCGTCCTGCGCTTCGCGCGTGTGCTCGTACGTAAAGTCCGGGTCGTACTGCAGCAGCAGCTCCTCGAGCCCTTTCAGCTGCACGTCGGGGTTCTCCTCGCGCTCCTCGTCGTCGCTGTCGTCGCGGTTGACGGCAATGTCGCGGTACACGCCCCAGTCGGCATCGTCGGCACCAAAATCGTCGTCGTCGCCACCGCCGCCGCCGCGCCGCCGCTTGCGCCCCGTAGCCGTCGTGCCGCCCGACGGCGCGTCGCTCGCCAGATTGGCAATGTTCTTCATGCGAATGTACGAGGCCAGGTTCTTGCGGTTGCCCATGTCCTTGGACAGCCGCTCGCGCTCCTTGATTTTGGCGAGCGTCTCGAGATGCGCCTGGCGCTTCTCTTCGAGCCAGTTCTCAAAGTCGTTGGTGCGCCGCTCCTCCTCGAGCCGCGCCTCCTCGGCCACACGGGCCTTTTCGGCCTCCTTTTCGGCCTTGGCGCGTGCGCGCGCGTCGTGGTTCGACTTGAGCAGCCGCTGCTGGCGCTTGGCCTTGAGCTGGGCCTCGTCGAGCTGGTCGTCGGGCACCTCGAGCAGCGAGAAGTCGGGGGCCTCGGCCTCTTCTTCCGGGTCGTTGCCCAGATCCTTTTGCCGCGCGCGGCGGAGGGCCTTTTCGAGCTCCTTGATCTGGCGCTCGAGCGCGGCCTCGTCCTTCACCTCGGCCTCGTCGAGCAGGCGCTTGGTCTCCTTTTTGGGGCTCTCGGCAATTTGCGTCTGGATGCTCTTGTAGTACTCGAGCTCCTGCTCCTTCTTGAGGAGCCGCTCCAGGCGCATCTTGACGGCCTGCTCCTGCAGCCGGCGGCCGCTCTCCTTCTTGCGCTCGGCAATCTTGGCGAGCTCCTCCTCGGTCTTTTGCACGACAATCTCTTCTGTGTAGGGGAACTGGATGATGCGCTCGCGGTCTTCGAGGCCGGTCCAGTCCAGGATGCCGCGCAGCTCGTTGTCGTAGTCCTTGGAGACGTAGCAAAAGTCCTTGAGCCAGTATTCCGCCTGCGACTGGTGCAATTTGAGGTTGTTGCTCAGATAATCGCGGTACTTGAGGCGCACAAGCCGCAGGAGGTAGTCCGCGGCATGTGAGCCACCCCAATTTAAGCGGATAGCTTGGGACAGGACTGCCTTGGAGTTGTAGACGGGGATGACGTGGGTGGCGCTATAGGACGACGAGACGACGAGGCCGGTGTCGCCCTTGTTGTGACGGTAGGAGAAGAGGGAGTCGATGCCGTAGGCGAGGGACGGGGCGCCGTAGCATTCAAAAACGATTTCGGTCATGGCTGTAGGAGCAACGTGTTAGCAAGCTGAAGACAAACAAAAGCCGAACAAAATGGTCCGTACGCACTCTTTCTTGAATAGGGGAAGTTGGCCACGGCCTCGGTGAGGACAATAGGGACGTCGACGGCGCCAGTGGTGCTACCGTTCAAGCCCAGCTTGACAAAGGTGTAGTCGAGAATGTGCTCCATCACGTCCCAATTCGCCACGATGCCCGTGCCGGCTTCAAAGGCGTTCCGCATGTGGCCGCGGGCGGCTGTGTCGGCGTAGCAGTCGGAGCCCACAAACGAAAACGTCTTGCCGAGCTTGCGGTCGCGGTATTTGGCCATGGTCGGTGGGATAGTGAAGCGCGGGTCCTTCTCAAACGACCAGCCGGCGCGGACGGCGGATGAGCCGTTGTCGATCACAATGGCTGCATCGCCGTCCGAGCGCTTCTTGGCGGCCTCATAGCCGTCAGACCTTGGCTCCACAAAGTCCTCGAGGGCGACGTCCTTGACCGGATAGATTGTCGGCTCTGGCAGCAGCTTCCAGGCTTCGCGCCGCGGAATGGGCTCCACGACGTCGATGGCCGTCGGCGCCATGGTGGGTAGTAGAAGAAGGGAGAGGTGCTTTGGACGCCGCGAAGTGGCTTCGCCAGAGTCGTGTTGCGAGCTGAGTTGTGGGCGACAGAAAAGTCACCGTGAAGCTGCAGCCGATGTCGTCGATTCGCGACTTCGCCGTACGCGACGGCAGCAATTGCGGCAGTTGGCGCGGCGGGATGACACACTAAAGCTCGAAAATATGCCTTCGAGATACGTGCCACGCCGAAAAGTCGCGTCGGTTTCTCGGAGTGGGATGGAGGAGAGACAGAACGTCTCGTTTCTGGCCTCTCGACTCTTTCCTGATGTTTGAGGGAGACCGATGAGCAGGGCGTTCCTGCCGCTAAATGAGCGCCACATATATTACATAATACATATACACTAGCCACACTTTACTATTGAAGCTCCAACAGCTTAGAACAGGCCTTCGAACATCGCGACTGCAACAAAAACAAGCATGTATGTTTCAAGCACGAACTATGGCGTGACCTGTTATCGACGTCTAATTGGATTTTTAGACGACAGGATAAAGAGATCTCTGAAGCATCGGCTTGCGAAGGCGTTTCCAACTTTGGCACGTGATCGTAAGTGTCTCTGCGAACCCAGGACGGACCATAGAGCCGCATGTGTGAGATGCAGATGGTCAAGCCGTAATGCGTTTCAGGTTCTCAAATGATCCCGCCGTCAGATCGGCCGCCGCGTGGCCGGGTGTGATGCTGCACTGTTGTGTTGGCAGAGACACGCTTTTCTCAACGCGTACCAGTTCCTTCCCAGCTTCTCTCCTACGTCGTAATTACAGCGCAAATGATGTGTAAGCGGGGCTTGGCGGGGTATAGGCATTCGCCTGCACAGAGCTCAAACTCAGTGTCGGAAGGAACGACCCTGCTTTACTCCCATCCCAGCTCTGCGTAACCAGTGAAACCGCCTGAACTGCAGAAGTATCACAAAGAAAAAGATGCCTTAGTCACAATCATGAAACAAAAGAGCAACACAGCAGCCATGAACACGCCTGCTTCTGGCTGACCGCCTGAAGCTTGACCAGCTCGCCCCAGCGGCCGGAGCTTGGTCGTTAGCGGGGCGGTGTTCTTTCCTCTACAGCTCGGCTGCCTGGAGCTTGCCTCCTGCTTTCCCTGGCGTTGAGTGTTACAGTGGGTACAGTACCCCTCCTTCGGCAGGTGTTCTTGGGGGTGCTCGATGCGCCTTCCTGCAGTGGTTTCGTTACTGGGGCCTGCCGGTCCGATAATAATCGCCAGCACTGTTGGTCTTAATCCTTGTGCTGTACGTCTTATTTTCCCATCCCACTTCCCATTCATTTCCCCTTTCTGTACTCTGTCGGCTCCCTCTCTCCCACAAACGCCCTCTCAAACGAGCAAACGTCACACGTCTGTTTTGCCTTACTACGTCCTCTTCACCCAGGATTGCATTGCGCCCTGAACTGTACGTTTTCCGCAGCGTCGCAT